ATTTGCAATTTGGTAAACCTGTTTCATTTATATCTTTCATTACACAGAATTATTGCAAGAGCATTTTAAAATAGAAACTGGATTTTGGATGTACCGTATGTACAAAATCGTCGTACTTCCCTTCCCTTCTATTTTTCTGTTCTATAATTCTGTCCATTTTACTTTGATTTTCTCGGTGTTATTATTTTCCATTCTCATTTTCCTTTTTCATTCTAAAGAAGGAAAGTCTGCTGTTGCACTGCAAAATTAATTTACACTATTGGCTACGATTTTGGATGATTTTCAAGTTTCCGGATACTATTAATAATTGTCATCAATTCAGTCTCATCTGTTAAAATTAAAACACTACACGATAACTAAATTAAATATTTACTTTTCTTTACCACTGCATATCCACCTTCTTCACTCTTATCTCGAGCAAAAATGGTCTGACCAGAATACCATCAAGATAAAATTCACGCAAGGGCTTCTCGTGATCATTCGAGTATCGATTCGGACAGCAGCTTCCGCTGATAACGTCGTACAAACGAACACTTCCTTTCAGCCCTACAAGCCACACATCCTGCATCTGTGCCTTGTCTTTTCGTCGCGTCTCCCGTCGCACGCGACTCGACGTCAAAACAAGCCACAAATACTTGGAAGTATTGTAGCCGAAGACCTTCGGGTGAAGATGGAAAATTATTTTATCATTTTCCCCTATCTTCGTCGCTGGAAGTTTTTAATTGAACATCAATAACAGAAAGATCATAGCAACGGTATATTCTAATGCAAAATTAAAATTGACACATTTTGACGTATTGATAAACTGGAAACATTTCCCCTATCTAAAGTAACTGCATTATTGTATCGATTTTTTTCAAAATAATTCCACCAATTTTTGGACGTACTGTAACGGTTTGAATAAAAATGTTTAAAAAGGTCAGTTCCGCAGATATCTATCGATTTCAAAATTTTATTTAAAAAGCTACAGAATAACACATTTTTTATAATTACCAGCGTTTCTTCAAAATTTTCTCTACGGGATTATTTTTTTTATTCACTTTTACTTTTCAATTTGGCAACAGTTACGAGATTGAATTGAATTGAATTGAATTTGCCTTATTTTACGTGGCGAGACTCGGGCCATCAGGCCCGCTCTTCCGTCTGACCACGCAAATTTCGCTACGCTCCTTTCACCAACTAGCAGAGAAAGGAGGTATTTCTTGGGCGAGAAACAGGCGATTTGAATTTAGCTCAGAGGCGTCATTTAGGCTTGCGGATCTTTTACATGCAAGTAAATCTACGAATACGGGACAGCCGGCTTTACTTCCCCTCCAAAGGAAGGCGTACGAAGGATTTTTTCGCCCTTAAAAATCCACGGCTTTGAACCCGCCAACTTGGGTACAACAGTCCAGTACGCTAACCGTTACACCATCGCCGCCACGAGATTGTTCCATAAGAATAACATTGAACAGAAGAGTCCGTTGTGCCTTCTCGACGTGAAAATGAGTATAACATATTCAGCTACTGTTGAAAATCCGCCATCGTCACGGTTTACGATCCCGTGTACGGCCTAATGGCAAACGAGCCGTTTTTTTTTTTTTTTTAAATATCGATATTTTGGACCAGAAACATAGATATAGTGTGTTTTGGGTTCGAAGTTTTCTTCACATCCATATTTTTTCCAGAAACATCGATGTTTAAAAAAAAATATTGATGTAAATAAAATTCCCAGTAACTAATTTTGTCGTGGATCACTGGAAACCAACATCTACTGACATGATCACGATTGTCGATGCCCAGACGGCACGAAACCGCTTTCGCAATGCGCATTCGCAACGGTTTCCAATGTTGCCAAGTTACGGGGTTAATTAGGATATTTATTTCCTTTTATAGGTGCATTGGGGGGGAGGCATTTATTTATGGTTGTATCTAGGGGGGTTGCTCAGGATGTCTTACTTTATGATAATTTTAACAAAATATCTATTACGTTTCATGCGAAAGGTAAAAGATTGACGAAGCTGAATAAAGTGGTTCATTATCTGGACCGACATTGATGACAGTGATTTAATGCAGTATGTACTAACAACTAATATATACGTATTACGTATCACATTAGATTCAGGGCGTTTTACTTCGATCATTTATGAAAGAATGGGATTCATTTGAAAATAGGAAAACACTATGTCCTTTCGTTTTTATTTCCTTTTTTAAATTCCATCAAGATTATTCTTTAACGTATAGTTAATACGTGAACAAACAATAAAATGCAACTCATTTAAGTACTATAATTAAAATGGAAATAGGATGGGAAAATACCACCAGTTCCATCATATTTATAACATCGATATTTCAAACATGGACGACTTTTTTTTATGTTTTCATCAACATCGAAAACCGTTTGGTTATGTATCGATATATTAATGTGTGGGTAAAATTTGCTATCACTGTACTTTGATTTTTCTATTCATATTGTAAGGCAGGACGTGCAACAACGACCCAATGTCATCGGCCACTACAGAAAAATCGAAGTATAGTAAGACGTGCCAGACAGGGAGGCTGCGGCGCCAACCGTCCTTGTGAGCCATCCCCGCTGGTGCGCAGGCGTCGTACGGGCTGCCAGAGAGCAACGTGCGTGCGTGCGT